TAATTGCAAAGAAAGCAATGGACAAAGTACAAGAGACGAACCCTAAAAACTAAGGGCCTGATTACATGAGCCGGGCTGGCCTTGTTAGCCGGGCTGATTTCTTTTGTTTTGGTGTTCGCCAAAGCGTGAAAACAAAAGAAATAAGCCCGGCTAACCGGGCCAGCTCGGCTCATGTAATCAGGCCCTAAGAGATAAAAATACTAAATATGTTAAAATGAGTGGCGTAACCAATTGCAAAGAAGCAATGCGGCAATTACAAAAGGGGAGGCCCACTTTTAACTACAACTGTAAACCGTAACAAAATCCCAAAACAAGGCCTTTGGAGCCCGAAAGGGCAAATTAGCAACAAAATCCCTGAGGGGCCCTTAAATGATACTAATCATAATAAGATCCCTTGGCAGGGTCTCTGAGTCCAATCCACACCTAAAGGGCCGACAAAATCCAAGAAAAGGGCCTTTGAACGATTAATTAGTAGCGTCTAATATAAGATGGAAATTAATTATAGCAAATTCTATTTTTCGAATGAAATACCTTTCTTTTATTCAAACCATGGGGTGCCAGAGAGAACAACTGAGCACTCCAATAAGCCTCTTTTGTGATTAAAAGCCTATCGATCTCTTCAGAGCCTCTAAGGGCCTGTACTTGATCAATGCATTGGAGAGAAAAATCGCCCAGGGTGTGTGGGTTTTTTTTTAAAGTGTATCGCCTCTTCACAAGTTGTTTTGTGTGAGCATAGCAGATTTGTGATTTCCAAATCTAACTTTAAAGTCGGTAGTAGTAGATCCCACGTATTGCAGGCGTCATTTCTTGCAAGAAGCCAAGTAAATCCCATTTTTAGAATCACAGGAAAGTCTAGAGTGAATGGTGCAATTTTTTCCCGTCTGAAAGCTGAGAAATGATTTAGATTCAACAAAGAAATTCTGACAGAGGTCGCATCTTTTCCTATCGCATTTAAAGCAGCCATTGTTATGAGGAATGGTTTGTCTCTCGCTGGCAGTTTTAAAACGTGATGGTGCTAACAATTCTTTGAGATTTTTCGATCGACGAAAAGATGGTATGTGATCAATTTCGCCCATGGCTAGATCGGCATAGCTACAAGCATTCTTCGGACCCATAGCTGTGCCATGGATCTGAAGAAAGAAATTTTCTTTAAAAACAGAATGGTTGCTTCTCAAACAAGTGTTTACGGCTTCTAAAATGCAAGTCGTGGATGGAAATTTGTTTTCTCTCATATTGTAGCTATGCCGATCTAGCCATGGGCGAAATTGATCACAAAGCTAAGTTTTCTGGTCCGATAAAGTCGTCCCTATGGTGGCGATATCGAGACGATGTATTTGATCTCTGGCAGCAGGGCCTTCTTGCCCTACATCAATTTACTGATTACATCAATTCTCTGTATCCTACTATCATTGAAGTTTCAGCTAGTTTTTCCTGAGCGTGGGCTTCACGTACTTGCTCTTACTTTATATCTTATGGATGGATTTATCAGGACAGACGTCTATTCCAAACCTACAGATAGTCATTTATATCTTCCGCCTTCCAGCTGCCATCCTAAGCATCTTTTCAAGGCTATTCCTTTTGGAGCAGCCACAAGATTGAAAAGAAATTGCCTTGAAGAAGTATTTTTTGCCGAGAGAACAGCTGAGTACAAAGAGTACCTTGTTAACCAGGGTTACCCTTCTAAATTAGTTTCTAAACAATTCTCCAAGCCTCCGCCGTCCCTAGAAATAGTTTACTCAGGACTTGTGGAAAAGAAAGTAAGAAACTATTTCCATTTGTTATTACATTTAATCCTAACTTGCCCGACAAAGGCAACATAATCAGAAAGCATTTGTTTATTCTGCAATCTAACCCCAAATTAAAAGAACTTTTTCCTCGAAGTTCATCATACCATCTTTTCGTCGATCGAAAAATCTCAAAGAATTGTTAGCACCATCACGTTTTAAAACTGCCAGCGAGAGACAAACCATTCCTCATAACAATGGCTGCTTTAAATGCGATAGGAAAAGGTGCGACCTCTGTCAGAATTTCTTTGTTGAATGTAAATCATTTCTCAGCTTTCAGACGGGCAAAAGTTACACCATTCCCTCTAGACTTTCCTGTGATTCTAAAAATGGGATTTACTTGGCTTCTTGCAAGAAATGTCGCCTGCAATACGTGGGATCTACTACTACCGACTTTAAAGTTAGATTTGGAAATCACAAATCTGCTATGTTCACAACTTGTGAAGTAGCGATACACTTTAAAAAACCCCACACACTCCTGGGAGATTTTTCGTTCCAGTGCATTGATCAAGTACAGGCCCCTCGGAGGCTCTGAAGAGATCGATAGGCTTTTAATCACAAAAGAGGCTTATCGGAGTGCTCAGTTGTTCTCTCTGGCACCTCATGGTTTAAATAAAAGAAAGGTATTTCATTCGAAAAATAGAATTTGCTATAATTAATTTTCCATCTTATATTAGGCGCTACTAATTAATCGTTCAAAGGCTCTTTTCTTGGATTTTGTCGGCCGTTTAGGTGTGGATTGGACTCAGAGACCCTGCCAAGGGATCTTATTATGATTTGTATCATTTAAGGGCCCCTCCAGGGATTTTGTTGCTAATTTGCCCTTTCGGGCTCCAAAGGCCTTGTTTTGGGATTTTGTTACGGTTTACAGTTGTAGTTAAAAGTGGGCCATCCCTTTTTAATGCTCGCCGCATTGCCTCTTTGCTATTGGTTACGCCACTCATATTAACATATTTAGTATTTTTATCTCTTAGTTTTTAGGGTTTGTCTCTTGTATTTTGTCCATTGCTTTCTTTGCAATTAAGTTTTTTGTTATCTTTTTATTAGCACCTGTTCATTAGTCGTTAACTGTAATTACGTAATCATTAGCACTTCGATCGTATTTAATGCTCTTTTTTTATTTCAAAAGTTGTAAATAACTGAAGGTCTCTGACAGAAACGTTTTTGATTAAAGTTTTTTATATTTTTTACGTCAGAAGTTGTCCATCCTCGCAATTTTTAAACTTTCTACGTTCGTGTTTGCTGTGAGGTTTGGACTGCGAATCTTTATTGATCCTCCTGGCGCGGTGCACCTTTGTTGGCCTGAGAGCTCCACTAACGACTTGAGATATAT